TTTTTTTTTTACCATTTGAAATGTTGACTACTGTATACATGCTTAAAACTCTTGTCAAGACAGCTGACAATCAATGTTAAAGAGCCCATATTATACATGAAATAAGGTCATATCTTGGTTGTAAGGGTCTCCAACAACAGTCTAATATGCATGCAAGGTCAAAAAACACTTTCGTGGTCTTATAATCTGCATTTATTTTTACCTAATTATCCCAGCGACTCCTGTATGAATCGTCCAGTGATTCATTTGTTCCCAAACCCCTCCTTAGCGCGGAGCTAATCTGCGCTGATTGGACCGATGACAGTCTGTCGCGATTGGTCGACTGCCTTCAGTCAGAGAGGGAAATGGCCAATAGCTAATCAGCAATTTAAAAAGTAATCACAGTTCATACACGCTCGATAGTGTAGGCGTGGACTTTAGCTGCCACACTATGGCCAGTGGATAGTGCCACGGATAACCGAACGAAGGACACAGTCGTGTACTGGCCATACCACACACACACAAAAACACACACACACCTCCGGATGACAACGCTCCCGCTTCAGCCCGCACCCGCCAGGTTTTAGCCTGAGAACCCGCTCCGTTTTCTGCCCGCCGCGCCCGGTCCCGCTAGAGCGGAGAACACAACCAAATATCACCCAGTATACAGTCCAGACAGCCAAGCTGTCTGTATAAAAACACACACACAGCACAAAGTACACAAAGCTCGTTCGTTCGTTCGCTCTCTCTCTCTCTCGCTCTCTCTCTCTCTCTCTCTCCCCGCGCCAGATTTCTGCGGCGCGGGAATACATTTCCGAATAAATCGCGGGAGCAGAACTCTAGCACGGAGCTCCATAAACAAACAGCACGCGTCGCGTTTTTAACGTGACTTTGCACGCGATAAGATAATATATCCAGTTAACCTGATACAGTACACGCGGTTACAAGTAACAAATCACAACTAAATACATTTGCAAGCTAGAGTCAACGAGGCAACTTTAACCGCACGTACTTACACTTGAGAAATGTAGGAAGAAACCCATCCTGACGTCCATCAGTTACTCTTTACTAATCCTTCCTTTAACAAACTCAGATGAAGTATTCTTTGTAGCATGTAGCTTCCAGAAGTTTCCAACTGCTTGGTTATAATGCTGATGTTTCATCTTTGGGTAGAGACTCAATATATCCATCTGCAGTGTGACTTCAATCGACCGGCATGTTTGTGTGCGTGTGTTTGTGGGTGTGCGTGTGTTTGTGGGTGTGTGTGTGTGTGTGTCTGGGTTACTGCGTCAGAGGGCGGGGCCTCAGGTTTGAAATCTCCCGGGTTTGCGCGTGCACGTGAAAAACTTTGTTTCGTTCGTACGTCATGGCGAAACACCTAATGACTCGGTATCAAGGCGACTCGTTTGAAGCACTATGATTCGACTCTTTTATAGATGAATCAACAGTTTTAAACACTGTATTCTTACAGATTTAAGCCTTAGCTGGATACTTCACTTCACTTAGAGCTGTGTTACACACTACATGGAGGGGAATTTTCAAAAACCCATAATATGGGCTCTTTAAGGCAATCTAAAGAACCCTGATTTAAAGCCAGTAGGAAACAGGTTTAATTGAGCAGGGGTATGACCAACCAGCATTGACGCTGCTGGCCTGTGCTAGTGTTCATGCTATAGAAACCATTACATGCACTTACGATGATTTTCAGAAAGTAGTTGGACTTCCACGTGGCCCTGTCTTCCCTGGGCATCTTTGCAGTGCTTCCAAGGATCGGTGAACAGCCGGTTTAAAGACAAGGTTGTAAAATCTGAGGATTACAAACACAAGCAATACTTTTACACCTGCCTTGTGTGCATCTTATTAAATGACAAAATATGAATTACTGCTTGTAAACTGTTTCCAGGTAATTTGGTTGCTTATTATAAGCTTTCAAATATTTAAAGATAATCAGAGCACTATTGTATTTGATTTACTGCTATAAACGTGTCTGAGACCAGCGTCCCTGCAAGTCATGAGATGCAGACAGACAGGGATAGAAGGAATCATGTTCATTTGTGCAGGGGGAACGACGAACAAGCACTGCAACAGCCTGTCCATAACTGAACCTGCACATTTCTTAATACCATAATGCATTTGTGATGGCTTGAGGCAGGGGTCACCAATCCTGTTGGGCCATTGTCCCTGCAGGGTTTAGCTCTATCTTGCATCAACACACCTGCCTGGATGTTTCAAACATACCTAGTAAGACCTTGATTAGCTTGTTCAGGTGTGTTTAATTAGGGTTGGAGCTAAAATCTGTAGGACACTGGCCCTCCAGGAACAAGCTTGGTGACCACTGGCCTGAGGTGTACTAAATACAAATGTTTAGAGACAGCTCACCCAAATGAAAACTGATTTATGCACCCTTAACTTTTCAAATCACTTGAGTTCCTTCCATTAAACACTTGTGTAGATATTTTGAATGCAGAAAACCTGTAACCATCGACTTCTATAGTATATTTTTCCTGTATTTGTATTATGGTAGTTGGTTTCCAGTTTTCTCCAAAACATACCATGTTCATTAAGAAACTCATAAGATTTGAAAACACTTGACGGTGAATTGTCTTTTGGGTGAACCTTTACCCCTTTAAGATTAACTTTACAAAGTAGATGTCAATCAAAACCGAAGGCAGTTTATGCCAAATTGTACATACTAATACAAATAAAACTATTACCTGGTATGATGACTCAAATAAAACATAAACACAATTATATGTGATTGACAAATTTTAACTTAATGGCTTAAGAATATTTCACTAAAATGAGAGTAACTCGTTTAAAAATGGCAAATAGCGCAACATCTCAATGTGGATCGACCGACTAGCACAAGCATTAGCATGTAATGTCCACTAGCAGACCCATCACACATTTTACGCATAAATATGATTAATATCAGAATTGGATCATCAAAATAAAATAAGATGCTATTAAAACGTCGCGTCACACATGGCGCACGAGGCCTGTGCTAACAGGCTAGTGCTAACTTTTCCTGTATAAATCGTTACACAAGCTTTAAACGCATAATAATAACCGCCGCTGATATTAAACACACGTAGGCCTTCTCGTGACCTCTTTTGATGTTATTTATTAACACATTTTAAGAAACCGCCACAAGAGCGGCGTCAGCCTTACCTCACGGTAGGGACGCGTGAAAGAAAGAGGCCGCGAAAGGAAGCGGCACAATATTAGTATCAGTCGATCATCCAATCAGAATCGCGCGGAAAATGCGTATCTGTGCGCTGATTGGTCAATGCACGTGTCTGTCACGGTCAGTGCGTATTTGTACAGTCGCACTTAGAAAGGATACAGCTGCGGTCAATATAGCATCATTCTGTGACGCTATAAAACAATAAATAATATTTTTACATCACTGTGAGGGTTGAGTTTACGGTTGGGGTAATAAAATACAAATAATGGATAATTTAATAGCAAAGAATGTAAATAGTTCCCGTTAACTTTCGGCCGCAGATGTATCCCTTCTAACAACAGCCAAAAATCTGCACAGAACCAAAATCACTGTGCATCTAAATTCATCGCAATACCTTTATTTTAATGAATGTATTTTAATGAATTGACCATTAATAGGGAAATTTGGTCCGCCAAAAAAGTCACTTTATTATCTATTTTGATGTTTTTCATCTTATTTTTTTTGTCTAAACTGACTTTTATCATCTTGACAATCATTTTTCTATTTTCTACCATTTTTTAAATTGAACATCTTATAATAAAACTCTTTCTCTTTCTATATAAAATTCGTTTATTGCAATAACTAAGAATACTGTAAACAAATTTGTATTATTTCTATATATTTTTTATAAAAATAATATTTACAAAATGTAAAATTATACAATACAAATTAAAATGATCGTGTTTTGTTTTTAATTCGTAACGCATATATATTTTAAGTGTTTCTTAATACAGATATCTTTTATTTTATTTATTTATTTATTTATTTATTTATCTATTGATTTATTTATGCAAATATTTTCAATCCTATTTTTCCAAACATTTCCACAACCGCGATTGTCGGCATTATTATTATTATTATTATTATTATTATTATTATTATTATTATTATTATTATTTATAATCCATTTATTTATTTGGGAATTTATTTATTCATTGTTTTGTTTATGCAGGAATTTATTTATAAATTAATTTATTTACTTGTTTATTTATTCGGGTATTTATATTCTCATTGTTTTATTTACGCAGGAATTTAGTTATTTATTTATTTACCTATTTATTTATTTGTTTGTGTATTTATTTATTCGTTGTTTTATTTATTTATTTATTTTATTATTTATTTGTTTATTTTGGGTATTTATTTATTTGGGTATTAATTCATTGTTTTATTTGAGCAGGAATTTATTTATTTATTCATTTATTTATTTGTTTGTGTATTTATTTATTCGTTGTTTTAATTATTTATTTATTTTATTATTTATTTGTTTATTTTGGGTATTTATTTATTTGGGTATTAATTCATTGTTTTATTTGAGCAGGAATTTATTTATTTATTTATTTACCTATTTATTTATTTGTTTGGGTATTTATTTATTCGTTGTTTTATTTATTTATTTATTTTATTATTTATTTATTTATTTTGGGTATTTATTTATTTGGGTATTAATTCATTGTTTTATTTGAGCAGGAATTTATTTATTTATTCATTTATTTATTTATTTGAGTATTTATTAATTCATTGTTTTATTTATGCAGGAATTAAGTATTTAACTTATTTATTTACTTGTTTATTTATACGATATTTATTTATTTATTTATTTATTCACTGAGCTATTGTGCTGCATATAATTTTAAACAAAATAGCTAAACGAATGCATTCTAACGGTTAAGTATTTACAATGTAAAATTTAGAAATGATCTGCACAAAGCCCTGAAAAAAAAAATAAATAAAAAGAATAAAATAAAACTCAATCGGACACGAGGCGCGGTGACGTCATTGGGGCGCGCCGGCCGCCAGAGAGCCACATGAGCTGATGATGTAAACAACTGCAGTGCGAGGCTGGTCTGTCTTTATGAGCGAGAGCAGCAGCCCTTCACAGTCACACAGCAGATCATGCCCCACGAACCCGACCCTCCTCCGGCCAAGAGATTTAAGCCGGGCTCACCTTTCTTCCGCCTGGATAAGAAGCCGGGCATGCTGCTCCCCCGGGCGGGACACGCGGCCGCCGGCGTGGAGGCGCAGCGGAGACACTTGCCGATATACCAGAGTCGGACACAGGTGATCAGCCAGCTCCGACAGCTCCACAGCGCCGTGTTCATCGGTAAGAGCTCTGAAATATACAGTATAACACACTTTACTATAGTATGATGGTGATCAGACAGCTCCACAGTGTAATATATACAGTATAATACACTTTACTATAGTATAATGGTGATCAGACAGCTCCACAGTGTAATATATACAGTATAATACACTTTACTATAGTATGATGGTGATCAGACAGCTCCACAGTGTACTATATACAGTATAACACACTTTACTATAGTATGATGGTGATCAGACAGCTCAGCAGTGTAATATATACAGTATAATACACTTTACTATAGTATAATGGTGATCAGACAGCTCCACAGTGTAATATATATAGTATAATACACTTTACTATAGTATGATGGTGATCAGACAGCTCCACAGTGTAACATATACTGTATAACACACTTTACTATAGTATGGATGGTGATCAGACAGCTCCACAGTGTAATATATACAGTATAATACACTTTACTATAGTATGATGGTGATCAGACAGCTCCAGAGTGTAATATATACAGTATAATACACTTTACTATAGTATGGATGGTGATCAGACAGCTCCACAGTGTAATATATACAGTATAATACACTTTACTATAGTATGATGGTGATCAGACAGCTCCACAGTGTAATATATACAGTATAATACACTTTACTATAGTATGGATGGTGATCAGACAGCTCAGCAGTGTAATATATACAGTATAACACACTTTACTATAGTATGATGGTGATCAGACAGCTCCACAGTGTAATATATACAGTATAATACACTTTACTATAGTATGATGGTGATCAGACAGCTCCACAGTGTACTATATACAGTATAACACACTTTACTATAGTATGGATGGTGATCAGACAGCTCCACAGTGTAATATATACAGCATAATACACTTTACTATAGTATGATGGTGATCAGACAGCTCCACAGTGTAATATATACAGTATAATACACTTTACTATAGTATGATGGTGATCAGACAGCTCCACAGTGTACTATATACAGTATAACACACTTTACTATAGTATGGATGGTGATCAGACAGCTCCACAGTGTAATATATACAGTATAATACACTTTACTATAGTATGATGGTGATCAGACAGCTCCACAGTGTAATATATACAGTATAATACACTTTACTATAGTATGGATGGTGATCAGACAGCTCAGCAGTGTAATATATACAGTATAACACACTTTACTATAGTATGATGGTGATCAGACAGCTCCACAGTGTAATATATACAGTATAATACACTTTACTATAGTATGATGGTGATCAGACAGCTCCACAGTGTAATATATACAGTATAATACACTTTACTATAGTATGATGGTGATCAGACAGCTCCACAGTGTAATATATACAGTATAACACACTTTACTATAGTATGGATGGTGATCAGACAGCTCCACAGTGTAATATATACAGCATAATACACTTTACTATAGTATGATGGTGATCAGACAGCTCCACAGTGTAATATATACAGCATAATACACTTTACTATAGTATGATGGTGATCAGACAGCTCCACAGTGTAATATATACAGTATAATACACTTTACTATAGTATGATGGTGATCAGACAGCTCCACAGTGTAATATACACAGTATAATACACTTTACTATAGTATAATGGTGATCAGACAGCTCCACAGTGTAATATATACAGTATAATACACTTTACTATAGTATAATGGTGATCAGACAGCTCCACAGTGTAATATATACAGTATAATACACTTTACTATAGTATGGATGGTGATCAGACAGCTCCACAGTGTAACATATACGGTATAACACACTTTACTATAGTATGATGGTGATCAGACAGCTCCACAGTGTAATATATACAGTATAATACACTTTACTATAGTATAATGGTGATCAGACAGCTCCACAGTGTAATATATACAGTATAACACACTTTACTATAGTATGATGGTGATCAGACAGCTCCACAGTGTAATATATACAGTATAATACACTTTACTATAGTATAATGGTGATCAGACAGCTCCACAGTGTAATATATACAGTATAATACACTTTACTATAGTATGATGGTGATCAGACAGCTCCACAGTGTAATATATACAGTATAAAACACTTTACTATAGTATGATGGTGATCAGACAGCTCCACAGTGTAATACAGTATAACACACTTTACTATAGTATGGATGGTGATCAGACAGCTCCACAGTGTAATATATACAGTATAATACACTTTACTATAGTATGGATGGTGATCAGACAGCTCCACAGTGTAATATATACAGTATAATACACTTTACTATAGTATGGATGGTGATCAGACAGCTCCACAGTGTAATATATACAGTATAACACACTTTACTATAGTATAATGGTGATCAGACAGCTCCACAGTGTACTATATACAGTATAATACACTTTACTATAGTATGGATGGTGATCAGACAGCTCAGCAGTGTAATATATACAGTATAATACACTTTACTATAGTATAATGGTGATCAGACAGCTCCACAGTGTAATATATACAGTATAATACACTTTACTATAGTATAGATGGTGATCAGACAGCTCCACAGTGTAATATATACAGTATAATACACTTTACTATAGTATAGATGGTGATCAGACAGCTCAGCAGTGTAATATATACAGTATAATACACTTTACTATAGTATAGATGGTGATCAGACAGCTCCACAGTGTACTATATACAGTATAACACACTTTACTATAGTATAGATGGTGATCAGAACAAACCACTGTTATACAGTAACTTGCCTAATTACCCTAACTTTACCCTAATTAACCTAGTTTAAGCCTTTAAATGTCACTTTAAGCTGTATAGAAGTGTCTTGAAGAATATCTAGTCTAATATGATTTACTGTCATCATGGCAAAGATAAAATAAATCAGTTATTAGAGATGAGTTATTATGTGCAGAAATGTGTTGGAAAAATCTGCTCTCCGTTAAACAGAAATTGGGGAGAAAATAAATAGGGGGGCGAATAATTCAGGGGGCTAATAATTCTGACTTCAGCTGTATATGTTGTGTTGTTTCAGGTGAGACAGGCTCCGGTAAAACCACTCAGATCCCACAGTACCTGTATGAGGCGGGCATCGGCCGGCAGGGCATCATCGCCATCACTCAGCCCCGCCGGGTCGCTGCCATATCACTGGCCGGTCGAGTGGCTGAAGAGAAGAAAGTGCAGCTGGGGAAACTGGTGTGTTTATTACTCATTACACTAGCGCTGAATGATGCTGGAAACACTGACATTTCAATAGGCTTATGACTGTTTCAAATTCTCTTGTAGTTAAACGATGAAGCTTTTATTATAGTATACGGTATTTAAACACAGCTACAAAAATAAGTTACTTTAAACAGGACCTATTACGCTCCATTCACACGAGGCGTCAGCTTCAACGCTCCCTAGTCACGTTGAATGGGTGACATCAGGCATTGCCGAACAGTATTGTGGATCTGTTTGTGCCGCTTCAGAGGCGTTGCTCGCTGCAGAAGTCGGGATTGCTCAACTTTTCAAGCAGCTATGGAAGCGTCAGCCAATCAGATCGCTGTATGCAAATACATCAGCTGGACAGTGGCCTATTGCTGACTGAATTTCATTGGCTGATGCTGCTATGATGATTGCGTCAGCCCCAACTTCAGACATGCCTTCAGTCCAGCGTTGACGCTGAAGCCCCGAGTGAATGGGGCGTTATGTTCATTTTAACAAGTCTTTGATATTCCTAGAGTGTGTAGTGAAGTTTCAGCTCAAGATATGACATGAATTTTGTTTTCCATCTCTCCGAAACTGACCCTTTTAGGTTTTGATCCTAATTGTGGTGTTTTGGTGACTGTCGCTTTAAATTCAAATGAGATTGTTCTCTTTTTAAAAGGGGGCGGAGCTAAAAATACTTGCGTGTCAGCATAGTGGCAGATTCGAAAACAAGACTAACGTCCTATGCCAATGAGGGAGAGATGGGCACTAGTGGGCGGGGCTTTCCCCCTCTGATGACACATACAAATTGTCAATCAAAGTGTTTCTGCAGACTGTCTTCATCAAGTCTGATTATAAACAATACAATTAATACATTTCTACCATTAAAGCTGATTGTATTCACACACTGTTGACACACAAGTGTGTTTAAACCCTTTATATTAGTGATTTTTACACAATAGGTCCCCTTTAATGCTGTGTTCACACCAGACGCGGAACGCGCGGATAAATCGTGATATTCGCGCGTAAATAGCCGCGTGAACATTTGAGTTTACTCGCTTCATTCGCGTGTCAAACTTCGCTTCATTCGGCGTGAAATCCGCTTCATTCGTGTGTCAAATTCACTTCAGAACAGAGGCTGATTCACGTGATCCTCAGGGTTTCTGTCTGCCCGGTGACTGTAGCTTCGTTGCTAAAAGGCTAACATGGATTTCATGAAGAAAATAACAGTGTTTATGTGCTTTATGAAGGCTGAAAAACAGTATCGATATGTTTAGGGTCGTGTCTGAGTCCACTACATGCTTTCAGAGGTGCATCCAGCTCTGTGAGGTCATAAACTCCTCCAGAACTGAACCTGGATGACGGAGGCTTTCAGCGGTGCTTCTGACTGAGCCCAGCCCAGTTTGATGACTTGTTGTCGGTGTCGCCTGGACGATTTCCTCCGGGACACCATCAACAGGTTCTACGTCACAATCACGCCCCTACAAGAGCAAGCTTCTGATTGGTTAACGCGGCGCGAATGTCCGCAGAAGTTCAGATTTTCGAACTCGAGAGATTCGCGTGAAACGCACGTTATAAGCACGTCAAACGCGCAAAACGCTCAATTCGCCCCCGCCATTCGTGCATATCGCGCTATTCGCACCGCGCCATTCGCGCGTATTGCGCCACAGGATGTCTATTCGCACGTTTGAATTGACTTAACATGTAAATCACTTGCGCTTGACGAGCGTTTCGCATCTGGTGTGAACGCAGCATCACAGGTATATTAATGTGTATTGCTTATTGTATATACATGTTCAGAGTAAACAAATATTTCAATTACAAAAGGATTATAAACACTTAAAATACTATAAAGTCTCATTAGTGAATGTTAGTTAATGCATTAAAATTATTAGTAAAAAAAAAACAGCTTTATCACAGTTACTTTGTTAATATTAGTCAATCTTTGAACCATTAAGATAGTTAACTAATTGTGTCTCAGTTTCAATGTAATGTAATGTAATGTGTGTTTATATAGCGCATTTATTGTGTATGGCCATACACCCAAAGCGCTTCACAATCATGAGGGGGGTCTCTCCACACCACCACCGGTGTGCAGCATCCACTTGGATGATGCGACGGCAGCCACAGGACAACGGCGCCAGTGCGCTCACCACACACCAGCTATTGGTGGAGTGGAGAGACAGTGATAGAGCCAATTCGGTGGAAGGGGATGATTGGGAGGCCATGATCGTAAGGGCCGATAGAGGGACTTTGGCCAGGACACCGGGGTTACACCCCTGCTCTTTCACGAGAAGTGCCATGGGATTTTTAATGACCACAGAGAGTCAGGACCTCGGTTTAACGTCTCATCCGAAAGACGGCGCCCACTGACAGTTTAGTGTCCCCTTCACTTTTACTGGGGCATTAGGACTCACGCAGACCACAGGTTGAGCGCCCCCTGCTGGCCTCACTAACACCACTTCCAACAGCAACCTGGTGTTCCCTAGTGGTCTCCCATCCAGGTACTGACCAGGCTCAGCCCTGCTTAGCTTCAGTGAGTAACCGGTCTTGGGCTGCAGGGTGACATGGCTGTGGCCATGGTTCAATGGTGCCAGTAGTGAAAATCATTTATTGTGTATGGCCATACACCCAAAGCACTTTACAATCATGAGGGGGGGTCTCTCCACACCACCACCAGTGTGCAGCATAAATTTGGATGATGCGACAGCAGCCACAGGACAACGGCGCCAGTGCGCTCACCACACACCAGCTGAGTGGTTTGATGAACATGAACATCTCCCATGGCCTGCACAGTACTCAGATTCAAACATTATTAAGCACTTTGGGGTGTTTTGGAGGAGCGAATCAGGAAAGGTTTTCCTCCCAGCAGCATCATGTAGTGACCTGAACACTATTCTGAAGAAGAATCCCTCTGGCCGCTGTGCAGGACTGGTGTCTGTCATTCCCAAGACCATCTCATGTTGTATTGGGGAGGCCCTACACCAGGGGTGTCCAAACTCATTCCTGGAGGGCCGGTGTCCTGCAGATTTTAGCTCCATGTTGCTTCAACACACCTGCGAGGATGTTTCTAGAAAGCCTAGTAAGAGCTTGATTAGCTAGCCCAGGTGTGTCTGATTGGGGTTGGAGCTAAATTTAGCTGGACACCGGTCTTTCAGGACCGAGTTTGAGCCCCCCCTGCCCTACACCATACTAATGAATTATTATTGTAGTCTATAACCAGACGTTTTAGTCTCATTGTCCATTCATTGTTCATTGTTTTATTTTTCATGTTATACAAACCAAATCTGAAACCCCGCACCTCGGTCTGCATCATCTGAATGATTCATGAGTGTTTCTGGTGTTAGGTGGGCTACACGGTGCGCTTCGAGGATGTCACATCACCAGAGACCAAGCTGAAGTTCATGACGGATGGGATGCTGCTGCGCGAGGCCATTGGAGATCCACTGTTACTGCGGTATACTGTGGTGATCCTGGACGAGGCTCACGAGAGAACTGTACACACTGATGTGCTGTTCGGTGTGGTAAAGGCCGCGCAGCGCAGACGCTTGGAGCAGAATAAAATACCACTCAAGGTGATTAACCAGCACTGCATTACGGGGACATGCGTTTTCAATATGCGCAATAAATATAAGTAGATGGTCAATTTATTGACAGAGGATGTATGCATGCATGTATGTATGTATGTATGTATGTAAGTATGCATGTATGTATGTATGTATGTATGTATGTATGTATGCATGTATGTATGTATGTATGTATGCATGTATGTATGTATGTATGTATGTATGTATGCGTGTATGCATGTATGTATGTATGTATGTATGTATGTATGTATGTATGCGTGTATGCATGTATGCATGTATGCATGTATGTATGTATGTATGCATGCATGTATGTATGTATGTATGTATGTATGCATGCATGTATGTATGTATGTATGTATGTATGTATGTATGTATGTATGTATGTATGTA